GGGTGTGACATTTGGCTTATTCCGCGATTGTCGAAGTCATCAAGCCTTAGGTGCCACTGGGTCCTAAAATCCTTAGTCCAGCCGCTTTCTTGGCTAAAGAGTCGGCAATGCGATTACCTTTACTCCTGTCGTGCCCTTCAACCCACCTCAGGATAATGTTATTTTCTACCAAGGATTTGACTAAATCTTGGTGGCATTCTAGTACTAGCCTTGAGGTAACACGTTGTCTGTTCAAGGCTGATAGGGCTTGTCTGCTATCAGTGCAGCTTGTTATGTTTTTGCCAGAAATTCCTTACCTGGTTATTTCTTTTGTGTCGACTGAGATACCAGCCAGTTCTGTTTGGACCACGCTGGTATTTTTTCCCATTCTCCACTAGCCACAGGTGTTATCAGTAGTACTATGGTGAATTCCTAATACATTGTTGGAACCAACTGTTTTCACTATCAGATCAGGTTGTGCATGGTTTATTTCACTCATTCTTTCGATAGCTTTCTATCTACCATATTATGAATACACTGATCAGTTACTTAATGAAAAATAATACACTGAATTTTTGGCGTTAGCGAAACGCGTCTAGAATAAGAATTGTATTTGTGGAAATTGCTTGATTATCATGGATCTATCGAATGAATATATAATTCTAGGTAATGAAACAAGCCAAAATTAAAATCCTAAATTCAAATGCTAAATAATTCAAATCCTAAATAAAACTGTCTAACTCTCATTTGAAACCTGATTGCGAGGTTCATATTTCTTCTTCTACACCTTTTACATATGACCCAATAGCATAAGTTGGGATGACCCTGATGCCTTTCTGGTGATTTTATCGGATGTTGACTTCTGTATTAGATTTAAAAATAATGAAATATTTTCAGATAGATAATAGATATATATTTTGAACGATATATCACAAGCAAATACTTTCCATTTGAAACGAAAATCACCGTCTCTTTGGGTTCACGATGATTTTACTGAATGTTTATTTTTGTATCAGAGTAGAAAATAATCAATATTATTTGAATTGGCAAAGGCGAAATATTTCAAACGATGTATCACAAACAAGTACTTTCCATTTCAAAATTTAGGAGTTATAACTGTCACTTTGGGGATGTCAAATTATAGATGAAGTTTTTACATAACATGATGTAATTTTGAAATCTAAAACCGAGTTTTACATGATCAGTTGTTATTGCCATGAAAATCTCACAAGGAATTGAAGAACTTTTCGAATAAAAAGTAAAGTTATAAAAATTCATTTTACTTTGCTGAAATCGCAATTGATAATAGCCTGCCCGAATCTAATAATTTTGCTATTGAATTTTTTTACTTCATTACCTGCATTTGTAGTATTTCTAGTATGAATTGTAATTTGCAGAAATGACTATCACACTGAGAGAGAACATTTTATTCTAGTGTAACAAATCTGTAACGAAACAAGAGTATAAAAAAAATGAAAAACATTTTTTATTCAAGTATTACCAGTTGATACAAACATATGTTTTACACGACACCACCCAATAGCACCATCACCATCACAACTTCCCAACGAAATATTGCTCCAACACCAGAAATCATCATTGGAAATTTCCTTGCATTTATTTCATGAAAAACACTTTCCATATGCCCATTACATAAAATTTGACATTCGTATAATTCACTTCCCGGTGAAACCACCCGGACTCTGAGGGTACCGTTGTCCATCAAGAAGATGTTTGGCAATTCACTTAACTTGATTTCATCTTGGTAGAGCGTGCTGGAATTCAGTTTCCAAGTCCGAACAATGTTGCAGTAGGGAGAATCAGCAGAACATGGCAACCAAACCGTATCTCCTGGATGTGCATTTATGTCCATCGGGGCACTGATTTCGAAGTTTTGATCTAGTGAACTGTTAACATTGTGAAAATATGTGTCTTCCTCCAGATACTCTGGATAGTTGGGATAATCGTAATTATAATCGAGGGGGTTTCCCAAGGAAAGGAAACACAACAGACTGAACCAGAGTAATACGTTTTGAAGCACAGTCATCACGAGAAGTTCAAACGAATCGAATACAATTCAGATTCATTCATTCATCGGTATTACATGTTATCAACATGTGACCTCTTGGTCTTGAGGTGAAATCATTATTTGGATAAACATACATTTCTTGATAAGTATGATATACTGATTGAAATCAAAGTTTCAATTCCGAAATGATGTCAAATCTAAAATACAGAAGGGACTGCCCGAAGGGTCCAGAATAACATCTTCGTGATCAGTGTTGCCAACACAGAGTCGTCAAAATTGCCGAATAGGGCAGAGAAATATCCTCATATTTTATTCAACTTCATTTGAAATTTCTCACATGGTGATTTTTTTCATGGAATTTTATTTTTGCATTTTTCAGATGTAAAAATTGGATACTCAATGGAATCACATACAGGGTGTTTCAAATTCGATCCTCACCATTGGGATCTCGGAAACTATGAGAGATACGAAGATGGTTGGTTGAATTGAGGCAAAGTTGCGCATTCAACTGACCAACAATATACCATTGAGTGAATTCTGAAATTTCGAGTATATCCGGAGATATCCGGAGAAAACTGAAATTTCGAAAAATGGTTTTTATTTTTTTCTGGCTTTATTTTTCGAAGCATTCGAAAATAAATTGCACTTCCTCATGGTCACTTTTTTCCTGCTACATAACGGTGCTTTCAGATTTGCTATCCGACGTTTTGTCTTCCGGCCATCATCATGAACTTTATTTTTTCTTATAGGCGCTACATTGTATCCTTTCTGTTTTGAATAGAACCAGATTTTACCATTTCAATGATATATCATAAGTAATTATTTTTTTCAAAAAAAATTGGAGATATTGAAAAAAAATTCTTATCATAATAGGCTTTGACTTTGATGATTCTAAATTTGATTTCAATTTGTTACAATCAATGACATTTTGTAATTGTATAAGTCAAAACGAACCAAACTCGGTGAGATTTTGATCCAAAAATTTGAACATAGTTCGATGTAGTTGTCGTCTTTCGGGGTACAAGTTTAAATATATTTCCAATGTTTGAATTGAGAGGGTTATATTTTTAGGAGTGATTAATTTTTGGGAAAGAAAGTTTTTGGCTTTCTACTACTCCATCTTGATACAAAAAAGGATACATCGATGTATAGAGTTATTTATTTTGAAATTGATTACTTTCTTCCTTTCTTTGGAAGATTCCCTCATCCTTTTTTTGTATCAAGATGGAGTAGTAGAAAGCCAAAAACTTTCTTTCTTAAAAATTTCCAATGTCTTTACACTGTTTCTATCATATTTGTAATAAATTTGTATCATATCTCTTTTTTCTTCATTCGTGAAAGCCATTTTCTCCAAAAATTCAATGACTTGTACAATAACAATGTCATTGAGTATAACAAATTGAAAGTCAAATTTAGAAATATCAAAGTCAAAACCTATTATGATAAGAATTAATTTTTTTCAATATCTCCAAATGATTGACGGATTCTGTTACAAACTCAAATTGGGATTCTGAAACACAATTACAGAAAGTGACGAAAGAAAATAATTATTTTTTCTTTGATTATTAAAAATCTCCAATTGTTCGAAGAAGAATGATAACTTATGATTGACGGATTCTGTTACAAACTCAAATTGGGATTCTGAAACACAATTACAGAAAGTGACGAAAGAAAATAATTATTTTTTCTTTGATTATTTGAAATCGCTTTTTTTGGGAAACGAATTATCCTACAGACCTCTAGTTGGTGCAGAAACGTTAGTTTATTCTAGGCCTTTAAAACGAGCTAGGTTCACAAAAAAAGATGAAAAATTTGGGGTTGCAGAGACGTAGATTGCTTTGTGAATTTGTAATCACTAAAGTATCTTCAGTGAATTCGGAGATATTATCCCGTACTAAAACTTTATGGAATCCCAGTATTATTGTATATATGGACCCATAACAAGACTCTGTTCTCTTTCTCTACATTCCAGAAGTAACAGAAATAACAATAATTCCAAAGTTCTTTTTTGTAGAATAAATTATGGTCAAAATGAGTCAATTTGTAGGATACTGAAATCAGTAAATCATCATCCTCCGAGCCTGGAATTGTTTGATTTAACAAATCATCTAAATGAACTGAAGACAGACCACCTACCCACATAGTAGGTTCATGGACTGACACCAATCAGTAAACAACTACTCCTCTGGCTAATACCACGAAGGGCGTTAGAGTATATCCGACAGGTGTCAATGGAGGATTCTTCACAAAAAAAGTTTCCGCATATACTACCGGTGATACAACTGCTGGAATTGATTTTCAATCATTGAAACGGGCATACTTGCAGACCGGTCTCGGGCTATTTGGCCTCTCGTCAGTGCAAGGTAGTGTCCTACATCAGCACACAGTTGATGCTTTTCCATAACTGAAAATCAAATTCATTCAGAGTAACATACCTCGAATGAAGCTGAAGCGAAAGACAAGCAACATATCCATCATCGCCCTCTGCCTGTAAACGAGTTACTAACCAATCGTGTATCCGAGTGACCTAAATCCTCATATAAGGAAATAAATTACACCTATAGTATGTAGAAGAATCCTGACTGAAACCTGTCGGATATAATGCAACGCCCTTCGTGGTATTAGCGAAGGGAGTAGTTGTTTTTCGATGGTTCCATGAATCTACTGAGGGGCAACACTGGCCTGAGAGTATTGTTCATTTAGATTATTTGTTTTATAGCTAGTTTTCAAGTATGCCCACTGACTAAAGGTGAAGTTTGATTTATGTTTATCACTTGCCAAACAATCTTTTGAAACCTATGCTGTTTTCAATTATGTGAGCATATGGCAAATAAATAGCGATATGGCTAGTGCATTGAAATGAACGAATATTTATTAATCCAGAAATCATATAGATCCCCTACTCTCCAGCCATTCACCCCCTCATCGAACACCCTCGCGCGAATTTGCAACCTTCAGTCACTCGAATGTTCATAAAATAAAACTACCTACACATTATTTCAAATATTTTCAACAACCTTCTCAATAATATACAACGACTCAACAACCGAACAACATTACGCGCGACTTACTAGTCGTCCCATTTGGCGAACGCCAATGGATCGCTGACGAAGAGGCCCGAAGCGCTGCTCGTCGTTTGGGCGTTCGGGGCGACTCTGTTGATGACGGATTTGGTGTCGTTGGTGTCGACGTTGTAACGCTGCTCGACTTGGTACAGCTGTGGCGGTGGCGACTCGTTCTGGGGCTGCGCCCACGACGGCCTGTGATCCCAGGATTTGTTGGGGTCCCAGTCGTAGGTCGGCTGGTTCTGACTGAAAATTTGATCAGAATCTATAAAACAAATATTGGAACGGATGAGGAAATGTAAATTTTCAAGGACGGAAGTGAAGGTGTCGGATAATTGAAGCAGATTTATGGGTTTTTTGCCCGTAGTTTGGGTGCTATCTAAACACCATGCGCTAAATTTTAGAGTGCAGCCAATATATCGATTACCACAATAACAAAAAGAATATTTTAAAAAAAGCTACAGCTGATAACAAAATTACCATCCCTCAACAACGAACCCCCATTATCATTTCTTGAACAGAACCCCCTACTTTCGAACGTATGAATCGATTCTCTGCTCTTTCCTATGTAACAGAATATGAGGTGTTTTTGGGGCAAAAAAATTACGTGCAAAAAAACGCGGCTATTGCTACTGATATGAAAACTTGTATAGGGTCTTCCAACAGGGACTTTCAAACTTTGACAACTGATAACGGCCATATTGTTGATGCTACATTTGTCAAATCTCGCCATAATCGTCCTACCAAGAGGACTATTCACAATGTGGTGGATAAATTTGAGTCCACTGGTCCAGTAGATGATTGACCAACACCAATACGTTAAAAAAACGCAAAATCTGCAGAAAACATTGCCGCTGAGTATGAGAGTGTGTAAGAAAATCTGGGGCAGTCTATTTCGTGAAGATCAACGACATGGCAGAGTGAAAAAAAAGCTGTGCACAACTAGTCTCCAAAGTTCTAAATAATCTCAACCTAAAGCTGTGTGGGCAAATGATGGACGGATTCCACAGGTCACCGTACGTCAGCTAGAAACAGAACTTGGGATAAGTGGGAACACTACCCGTGGGTTGGGCTACCTATCGGGCGCGTCCTCAGGTGGCGGATAGGGGAACGGCCAGGGGACTGGAGGCCCTGTCCGGGAAGCCAATGTTGCCTTACGGACGAGGTCACCGGACTCCTGGTTAGTGACAGAAATATGAAGGGTGAGGAGAACTTTAATCCCCAAAAGGCTTTGCAAAACATGCCGTGGACCAGCCTACCCAAGCTAAGGTGCAAGAAATCGTGCAGAGAGCTGAATGGCCGCAGGGTGATATGCGGTTACGAACGAACCCCTTGGGGAATTGAGCGAAACCTCATTTTGAGCAGCATACGTCTGGTAATGCGGGGCTCTGCCAGAGGTGCCCAACTCTTACCTTGCTAATCGTAGGAACACAGATAAACGAAACAAACACAAAAACAGAAACAACAAAAACGAAAGCAATCCCGAGGCTGGACAGAAGTGCTCACCTCAATCTAAGGTGGTGGCTGGGGATGAGCAGAAATATCCACCCCAATATACCACTTAGAATGAGGCTGTACATAGCAGATCACCTCGTGATGTAATACAAGGCGTAAGCGAATTTGCGGCGCCGAAGCAGGAGCGCCCCACTCCACCTCCAACAGCAAGGGCACTTCCTGCGGCGGGCGCCAAGAACTCCACCTTGAATGAAGGCAAGGAACCGGCTGCTCCTGCAGGAAAGCTTCCTCACTTGTGCACCTCCATGGAGGGAACCCCAATAAGGTTGAAAAAGCCGCGCAACGACAGTAATGTCGCTGCACCTCCCAAAACCTTCGCGGAGGCTACCGTAAACACCTCAAGGTTGCCAAAGAGAGTGTGTGTTAGGCGACTCTTGGCCTACATCTGCCAATATAAAGAATATATTTCCTAGTAACCTGTCCATCTTTCTGGAAAGGACAGGATGGACGATGATCTAGGAGTTCACCGGGTCACATGTGGTCTAATTGCTGTGGGTCTACACTCACCCTCCCTACTTTACACATACAAATGTGAAAACACTATAGAACGAATTCTCAAAGAGTATAAGTATTACCCCTTTAAGCTCCATTTAGTGCACGGATTACCATCATATCGCCTAGGAGTTATTGATCAAATTCGAATCATGCAGAATGAGAGCCGTTTCCTTGATAACGATGTGGTCAATGAGCTTATGCACACTGGTTCGGTTAAAAATCCGCACTGGAGAAAAGAAACCGCTTTCCAAACCATATAGGGGTGAATGTTTTGTACAGAGTTTTCAATGGCCTTATTTTCATAAAGGAACCTTAACTAGATTTTCTACATGAAGGGCTACCTCGTATGTTGGACACTATTCCGCTTGAAGAAAGAGGTACAATAATTTGGCAACAAGATGGTACCCCTATGAGTACTGCCTTCTGATATGACAAACTGAACTCATTTCTGACAGATAAACAACAAGTAGATAACAGTACACGTGTTTATCTCATAGTATTGATTCCATCGATCTATCGCAAAAGCTGTCAAATGAGGTCCCAGATTGGTTTGTGATGAAATCTTCAAACTGATAACTTGATGAATAACTTGAAGTATATGCCTCCAAAAGAGTTTGACAGTAATGAAACCTTCATTCTCAACAGCGATAAAACCAAGGGTTGACTCTAGTAGTGCATCGTTCCGGATTATTACCTATTTAGAAAGATCCACTCTAGTCTTCCATAGTATAATTGTTCGATGAGTCAGTTATCCAATTGGATGAAGCAGAAATGAAAAGTCATTGATGACTCGTTTTCACTCAGAGATTTCATCTTCGCGTTAATCAGAATGAAAAATATTTCCCTTACCCTTTCAACTGAGGTTCGTCAGGAGGACGCATGATTCAAGACTGAAGGTGTTTGGTTGCGACATAAAGATCACTGACCTCTATGCCGCTCTGGCCCTGTGTACCCCTTCCTGACTGAGATATTGGATGAACAAACTGTTCACATTAACGGACGTCGTGGGGCCTTCACTCAACTGAGCAACGTGTTTGTTTCTACTGACTCGAAAAGTCTCTGATTCCTCAACTGAATGGACTGCTGTATATTTTCTTATTAGTTAGTGGGCTATGCTTGAAGACAGGCAGTAAACAAATCTAAAGAAATAAACTTTGAATGTTCAAGCTAGTCTCGGATATACCTACACGGTAGGTTGAATGGACTGACGTTTATCAGAAAACATCTACTTCACTGGCTAATACCACGAACGGCGTTGAATTATATCCGACAGGCGTCAGTGCAGGAATCTTCACTGAAAATTTCCTGCATATGCAATTGGCAACAGAACTGAAAGAGTCGACCTTCAATTTTGAAACATGCACACTTGCAGACCGGTTTCGGGCTCCTTAGCCACTCGTCAGTGCAAGATAGTGACCATCATCGACCTTAAGTCCATGATATTCCATTATTGAAGATCGAAATTCTTCCAGAGTATTTCATTCCTCGTCTTGAGTGACATAAAAAATGTCACTCCATCTAGTGGACGAGGTACTAACCAACTGCATATCCAAAATTTGCCCGATTTCTCTGAATAAGGAAGTAGTTGTTTTCTGATAGGCGTCAGTCCTTCGACCTACTGTGTAGGTTTATCCGAGACGGGTTTGAACATTTAAAGTTAATTTCTTTAGATTTGACTGCTGTATAGTCAACAGCTTCAAATCTCTGCGGATGGCTTCGTTCCGCACGAACGATGGAGCATTTACTAGCATCCTAAGAATCTCATTTTGCAATCTTTCCAGAATGGAGAGATTTGACGGGGCGGTTTGTTTGTTTTCACTCCAAATGAAAATGCTTTATGAACGTCACTTGAATATTCGATAATAGAAGTTGACATTTCCACTCACCTGAAAATATTGTGGTCAGTTCCATAGGGGGAGGTGCTATCGAATTTCTGTTTCTCATGGTCGGTGACAGTCAATTCGATATTTTGGTCTCGATCTTCCTCTAACGTACTGTTTTTGATTCCGTAATAAAAGTACATTATGAAACCTAAAGTCATCCAGATTGTGAACCTAACTAGGGTGAGAATGGACAACTTCATTATCAGGTATATGTTCACTGTGATGGCGACCACTGGAATAAAAGGCAAACCTGGAGTCATGAACATCAGAGTGTTCCTGAAAAATAAAATTTCTGTATGACTTTTATAGTCTTACTTTTCATTACAACATATATAGTATGGTGACTCTTTGCATGTGTGTAGTTTTCGGCAAACAAATGTTGCCCAACCTAGCACTTGGCTGCACCACGCTGACGAGGACAATAGCCAGAAGCACGTATCCGCGGTTTTACCACAAAGATTTTAATAATTCTGTTTACATAACGATAGTTTGTCAATACTTAAGACAAATTCTAATTGAAAATCTTAAGTGAATAGACTAATTTTTTGTGAAAGAACAGATTATTCAATCTCCCAAAATGGATTTGATAATCTAGTAAAGCCCTTTATAAATGATTAGGAAACAATCACTATACAATTTCTAGAAGACATATCACAACCATTTTTAAATCATATAGTGAAGTCAAAACTTCAATTCCGAATAAACAAAAATCGAACACATTGTTTGAAAGTGGTTGACACTTTTATTGTTTTTAGGAATAGAACAAAAATTGTTCAGCCTCCTTGAAAACAACAAATCCTCACCTGTTTTGTGGTTTTCTCGATATAACGAGGCAAATGGCGACGATGGCGAACAGGAAGAGGCAAAGGAAAATTGTTGTGGCGGTACCCATATCATCCATTCCCACAACTATTATCAAATCCAATATTATGATGAGGATATACAGATTTCCCACCATTTTCATGACAAACATTCCCGATTCTTCGGTTGCTGGTCCTGTGTCGACCCAAGGAAAGATGGCTGGACACAAATAAGTTGCAGCCTGCGAAAATTCAAAACTATTAGTCAACTATCTGTTTACAAATTTTGTATAACATTTCAGTTTCACAGACTTGTTCGAATATACTCAAATTTTTGTCACAAATACTAACATATTTAATTCATAACACAGTTTAAATTCAGCAGAATACTAATACCATCCAAGAACTTATTTTCAATTTATGAACAGGTAGTTGGATTCCTTCATATTATTATATATATTTTACCTGCAATCTGCGACCTATATAACCCAAACTAGGTCCTACTGTTGATCCCACAACACCACCGGTACTTGTAGCACTTCCACCTCCATGTACAGTACCTGTAGTACAATAAAGAAATGGATCTATACAAATTCACTTTTCCGAAAAAATTATACAAGTCAAATGAAATAATGGAAAGCACAAAGAAAATTACTGTAAAATGAGTTTCTGGAGAGGAAGGAAGATATACAGGGTGTAACTGAATAAGTGTAAAACATTTAAGGAAGTGATTCCTCATCGAAAAAAAGATAGGATNCGTAAACGTAATGCATATCAGCCATTTCCTCATTTGTGTATGCCATTTTAATAACATGTGAATTATTAAAGTAACAAATTAAGAACAGAACAACAACACACAATTAGTATTTTCGAAAATTCACAAACTGACAGCGTCATATCAATTCAATTGTCACTATCGCTAATAGCGACCTACTAGATAGATTAGTGTCGTATTTTCGCATTTATGACGATGTATCTCTGTAGTTGTTCGTGAAATAATTTTTTGCATAGCCCACTGACTAATAAGGAAGTTATTCTTCCTTATTCAGAGGAATCGGGCAAATAGGCCTTTTTATCACAATCTTTTTTGTGCGCATGCGTCAGTATCAGCCATCTTTTCCGTACTGTTTTTTGTAAATAACCATGTTGAAGAGGCCGCAACTCATGTTTTAAAAATTAAAATATAACTTGAAGTTTATTAATTGTAAAAAAAGTGAAAAAAAAGTAGCAAGTCAAAATAATCAGAAAAAAAATGTATACTCCATTATAATTATGTTATTTGTACGAAAAGGAACAACAAAACGGTGTTGTTATGGAGTATGTGAAAGTGATACACGATACAAATCATTCAAAACCAACACATACTATTTTATGAATTTTCCAAATCCTTGTCTTGAATATCGCGAAAAAAAATCAAATCATCAAGCTAATTACATATTAAAGCATGTGCAAAATGTGAATTATGAGTGAAAAAATATGGCAGTAGTGACCGAGGCTTTAAATCTATTGATGATAGTACCAAGGATACTTATATTTGCTCACTACATTTCATTGGAGAAAGTGGTCCAACTGAACAAAACCCTGTTGTACTGAATATTTCCTTCTAATAAAAATTAATAAACATATTCAATTCAGTATTTACATATTTGTCTAATTAATAATGTCATATGTACAGCCTCAAAATATTAATGGCTTGATTTGTTTAAAACTGCATGATATTTTCTATAATATGAAATACTTACCATAAAACTTATTCTCAGTTCTATCTGATACTAAAAATTGGTCGTCCCTCCCGGAAAAATCTTCTTCTGGTTCATCTCCCCCAAATGTATCGTCACTATCGGGAGAGCTGCAAAAGTAATATCTCTAGTTGACTACAAAGCTTCACTGCAGAGATTTGAGTGTGTAAGACTTACTTCTGTGAGATAACTTGCATAAAAGTCTGTGAATTGACATTTCATTGTATCCGATAGATATTTATGAATGTTGAAGGATAGTCTGTCGGATATAATTCTCTCCATCGTGGTATCTGCTGGAAAGCGGTTTTTCCAACAGGCAAGGGAGTTTTGTCACCACTATTTGCCTTGTAATTGATAAGTTGCTATACTTTCTGTACCATAAGGGTAGATTGTATCGGGTTATGCGGACGACTCAGTCGTCCTTGTCCAGGACAAATATAATAATATTGTGAGACATAAACCCAACGAAACCGACCATAGTTACATTCATCAAGAAGACAGAAACAGAGAGCCTAGGACCTCTGAAACTTTGAGATGAATCTGTTGAGGGAGGTCAAAGACCTGGGATTTATTCTAGATTCCAGGCTGACCTCAAACCAATCTAAGAAGAGTGGAAAGAGAGGCCCAGGTCACTCAGGTAGGTAGGTTAGATGCATTATGGAAAGATATGATGCTGAAACCAGACATGATGTATTGGCTCTACATCGTGATGGTTGAACTCATGATAACATATGCATCTATGGTCTGAAGGTCAAATATGGAACAAACGACCGCTATTAACAAACTAGGCAGGGTGGGAATACTTGTATGTTTGGGAATAAGGGGATCAATGAAAACACTTCACCAGCTGTATTGATACCCTCTTGAATCTCACCTCTTTGAATTCTGTAATGATGAGAAAACAGGAATTTCAAAATATGTGGAGGAAGACACACTGGACATGTTCCCGGACCGCACGATATAAACTTTGCCGTTATAGTTTTGAATCGCGAAGAGTGGAGAGTAAGTAAACAGTTGTCTCGGAAAAAAATTCATTTCAGTTATCTACTCGGGTAACACATTAGTCATTCAGGCTGCAGTGTATGTAATCTTGCAATGCACAAGAAACCTCAATTTGATGCCTCAACGAAATGAAAGGAAAAATATTTTCTCTAGTAGCTAGGCTGCACTTGGACCTGACAGTGACTTCTAGACTGGTCTGGAACCTGGCAGATAGGAATATGTTGACTGTATATTGGGTTTCAGGACACTCAGGACATACAGGAGACGAAGAGGCTATTGACTATACTTAACAATATTTCTAAACTCCATATATAGGTCCTGAATCAGCTGTGAGGGAATCAAAATCTTTGGTATGGAAGCAGGTTGGAAATTGCGAAACATATAGAGTATTTTGAGGATATACATGGGAACACAAAAGAAAAACCTTTATGCAGGGGCCAACTGAGAATAGAACTGGAGTACTGCTTATACAAAGCAGTAAATGACTCAGAACTGGATACTATCTAATGGAAGAACACCTGAATAAAAGGAGACTTTAGCTGCAGGCAATGTAACAAAGGTAAAGAGACAACTCACCATATTCCATGCGAATGAAAAGCACTTGATCACAGGAGGCAAACAATTCATGGTCAACCCAATATATTGTGGAAAGAATGGGGTAAAAACTAACAAACTCATGAGGCTTCAGTATTTGTTGCTTTCTTTTTTGTCATTAAAAGTCTGTTAAAATCTGTTCTGTACGTTTTTGTATCACAGATTTCTGCGCGCAGATAAACGTGTTTTTTTGTTCATTCCCGAAAATTGATTACATTGGTTAGTTTAGCCTTCTCTTGAAGCATGAGAGGTACATTTCGAATGACATAAAAGAAGGCAGCATTTCTCATCTTCAATGTGAAAGAAGACAGAATCGAAAAGTTGTACGTGTTCGTGAATGTGAATGAATGAATACGTAGATTTTGACATATTGAAATCTGCGCACCCATATTTCAGATGCAGGTTGGAAATGATACTATGTTTATAGCGAGTCAAATTATTTGATGAAAATGAGGACCGAATTATCCAATTGAATTCGTTTGCAGAAATAAACGAAACTGTGAACACTCCAAAGAAAATTAATGAATCCATGAATGAATATTTTACGACAACTCTCAGATATCAATTGACGAGGTTTTACCTTTCAACGTGTCATTTATAGCACCTAAGTCCAACAAAACTTTTTTAAAAGTGCAAGCCATGTATCCGAATATCCACCCAACGTGAAATCATTACCTTCTGGAAAACTAACCTTCTTGTCACCCTGCGAACCATGACCCTCTGCGTTGTCTGACTGGGAAGCGGCGAAGGTGACGGTGATGGAATGGGTGGCCCGAGACTGGAGACTATGGCTTCCTTTAGCTGCGAAGGATGGAGCTGGTTGCCGAAGTAGGCTTGGCCGTTGGGATTTTCCGCCAGGCCCTCTTTCGTCGGTGAACCTTTGAGTGGCGTCCTGAGACTCTGAGGAAGGAGCTCTACGAGGTTGGTGGAGTGGGGCTGGTATCGCAGGATGAGCACACACGTGGAGACGAGAGTGTAGGCTAAGAGAGTACCTGATGGAAAAAATTACGGTATTTGGTATTGAATGAATATTTTTTTTCTTACCAGAATAGAGTGCATTCCAGTTCAAACAAGTCACTTTGAATAGGTAATTCGTTATTGGGACTGTACAAAAATCGTAAAACAAGTCGACTTCCGTTTTCAAAGGAGAATAATTCTAAGCAAAGATCAACCCCTTGTCAGCCATCCCCTCCACTACAACCCATATGTCAAAAATTTCAGGACAGGAAAATTGATTTCAAAATGTTCAAACTGAGCGCCATGCATGAAATGGTATTAACAAGCTTTCGTTTCCTTCCTTACATTTTGAAATTAATGATGTTAAGAAGCATACAGCACTTGGTAATTCCCTTTCGTGAATCATCTGAAGACTGTGTCTCGTTAACTTTTGATTTCAACCATTTCATTAGAAAAATTATAATGGAGAGGTGTAAACGCCTCTTGAGAAAATAAAAGTTCAAACCTCAAACATTGTAGACATTTATTTCCGAGCAATTCAACATTCAAGTGCACTAAGATTATCTCCTCCACAAAACGCTATTTCGTTTCATCGCAAGTGTGAATGTCTCTTACATGTGAATGAATACAGACAGCCGTACATCAAGTACCATCAGATTAATTTGCATCGCTTGCCTGCATAAAACTTGCATTCCTTCGCAATAAATTGGAAACTCCCAGATTTCTATTAAAACTTCAACACGCATATTCTGACTCTCGTCGCAACTCTTGAACCTTTTCAATTCCCATCATCTCACTAACTATTCGAAATGAAATGGAACCAATGAAACTTCTTGCTTTGATCTGAATCTGGATTTCAAATTATGAGTAAATAAGTATAGATAGATCGATGGGCACAGAGATGAGTCGATTTTTTCCTGAATGATCCAGTGAATATGCGAAAACTATTATTCGGTTTTTTTGGCCGTAGTCTGCAGGTTTCCAAGCCTGACGTTTCGTCTACTACTGGGGTAAGCATCATCAAAGGCGAAGTGATGACGGTCGCAGCACCCAGGTTGGTGTTTGAGTTGTTGTTCCAAGTTACTTGTCCTTACGGGTATACAGGCTAGATCAGGTAATTTAATAGAGGGAAACCAAGCCACGCCCACTAATAATAATATAAAACCAGCGGCAAATACCAGTATCGTAGTAGTTGTAGCATTTTCTTAGACATCTCCAAGGCGTTTGACAAAGTCTGGCATGATGGACTTCTGGCCAAAATGATCAACTTTGGCTACACGAATCCAATGGTAAGATTACTCAAGTCTTTTCTAGCTTACAGGCGGTGCTGCTGCAGAGTGGGACAAGAACTCTCAACAATGCGATTACTGGAAGTAGGGGTCCCACAAGGTGCAGTCCTTTCGCCACACCTCTTCTAGGTATACACAGTGTAGAGTCCAGAAGAAAAAACTACCCGTTCAACTCCGGTTCTCTCAGTTCAATGGAAATTGTCACATGAGTATCTACTGTTCGTACAGCAATTACTGCAAATCCCAACAACAATACGATTTTTCGGCAAAAACTTTTTTACTTTTCATTGACGTTAGTACATTGGCAAAAATTGACAACTCTTCTGACAGAAACAGTATTTTCAATATAAAAAAGTATTACACAGGGTGGTTTGGGACAAAACTCAAAATAGATTTCTCAACATTTTCGTAACACACAGTAAACGTGCCCAAGCCAAAGAACAACTTTAACAAGAGATCAACAAGCCAAGCGCACATCACGAGATACTTGCAGCAATAGGCAGATAGATTAGAGGAATGGGCCAACCTGTGGAAGATCAGTATAAACCCTGACAAGAGTCAGGCAATGCTGTTCACCCGGAGGATGGTACACCTCGATGGAAACGTCATCTTCAACGGACAAGAGATTCCGTGGACCAACTAAGCTAAGCTAGATACTTGGGGGTCAACCTAGACAAAAGATTAACGTTCAGGTCTCACGTACGGCAGAGAATAGGAATAGCGAGATCTGTCTGACAAAACCTATTACCAAGTGAAGCTGCTGATGAAAAAGACCATAATAACCCGATAATCCTGTATGCCTGCACTGCCTGAGGTCAGTGCGCAGCGACATACAGAAAACAGATCTAGTGTGTCAGGGCCGCCGTAAACGCTCCCAGATATGTACCGAATTGGTACATATTCCGGGATGTAGACCTGAACATACACTACGTGGACGTATACATGAGGAAACACGCAGAGGACACGTTCGACAAATTTGAGCGCACGACAACCCAGCGCTACCTGGATTTGTACGTTAAGGAGGTTGCGTTAATGTCCATGGTACAATTGCGCACGGCTGGTGTAAACCTCGAAGTAGGAATGGGTCAATTGAGGCTGGGCCTATGGCGGGAAGCGCTCACTGGGCAATCTCTGCTGCAGAAAACAAGTGATGCAATTGAACCCAAGTTTGTGTTTAATAAGCCCTACAAAATACAAATTAAGCAGAACACAGAGTCAGATGCTACAAATGCAATACGGATTTATACAGACGGCTCAAAGACCAAAGAAGGCTCAGGATGTACCTGTGCGAGTGCCCGGAGTTATCGTCAATAAGAGAGTGTGTGTTCGGCGAGTCTTGGCCTACACCTGCCGATATAAAGGAGATGTCTCCCAGCGACCTGTCCACCTTCCTGGAAAGGACAGGATGGACGATGACCTAGGAGGACAACTCCTCGGGAGGATGTACAATGGGTGTACACTCACCCTCCCTACTCCAACAGAGGCCAACAGAACAGAACCAAAGACCACCACCGAGAGTCGCTGTCAGGCGGCTCCGGTAAGTATAAACATTTCTCAACCAGTTCAAATAATCTCTTTTCCAGACTCACTGAGAACCAAAACTCGTTCGCGATTAAAAAGACACTCGTCTCCGGTTAGTTTTTGGGGCCCCATGCAATAATTCAGTTAGGAAAGTCATGTTAAATCAATTTAACAGATCAGAAAGTAAAAGCACCTAGAGGCTGACTTTCGACCAAAGACGGTCAGATGTCAATCTTGCTGAAGTGCCCATCAGTAGGATCGAGGACCGCTCCAGGAGGAGCGAGGGTAGATGGAATGGTGTATTGTGTTTTCCTCACAAAATTCATTTCGTGGGGCGAAGTTTTCACTTCAGGGCACTCAACCCGAAAGGAGGCATGGGGAAAGCATCGTAGTTAATGCGGTTGGAACGATCGTTACCACATCGCCTTCGATGATGGCTGCCGCAGTGGTAGACGAAACGTCAGGCATGAAAACTTGCAAACTACGGCCAAAAAACTAGGAAAATAGCTTTCACAAGTGAAGAAGGTCAAAAAGGGTCAGTTTTTGACATATGTTCCTCTTTGAAAATAATTTTCAATTCTTTCTATTGCTGGTTCGTCTTTGAAAATCAGTCTATTCATTCAAAAGGTAGGCGTGGACTTCAAAAAAAACTTTGGGAGGCAAGATTTCTATGATCATGTGAGCATTTTCAACAGTTTATCGTCTTTCTACAGGGTTGTTTTCGAAATTGGTTAATTCGTTATTAAGAAATTGAATGTTGAACATTTAATTTAAGAAAAAACAAAAAATTCGCTGTCGCTCATTCTATTGAGTAAACCAACAGAAGTAATATCAATGGCAACACAATCAACAGATACAGATGACCTTCATCTAGTTCCAATAAAACAATCTATTTTCGAAAGTGGGCCTTACATTATTGAAGATGTCCGGAGTCAGAAATCGGCATTCCCGAACAATTCCCTGTCGCAGGTCTTCTAGATTTGTAGAATTTATTCAATTAGTAGTAAACATTTTGAAATGGACGACACTGTTAGTTTTTTCTGCATCGCACCGGTAGTTTTTGTTCAATCTAGTTGTCGCAGAACAAAAAGTAGATAGTTGGCCACTGTCACTTCTTCACGAATTATTATTCAGTCATGCTTGTTCACTCTGTTCCAACATGGTTTACTCTACTGACGAAAAAATAGAAATTGTTGCAACTTTTTATCGAAATAATGAATGTGCTAAAGCTGCTGCAAGAATTTATAATACGAATAATCCAGATCACAACGTGAGCCATCAACTCCGCTGGACAGTTAATGGATAAGATTCAAATTTCAGGTTCTGTTCACAACAGAGAACATGGAGTATCCCGTCTTGTCAGAAATGACGGAGTTGAAGTTGCAGTTTTAGGACATGTACAAATGGATAATCGACAATCTATCAGACAAGTAGCTAGAGCGTGTGGTGTATCAGATACTAGTGTTCTTCAGATTTTGAAAGCCTACAAATTCCATCCTTTCAAAATAATGCTAGTTCAGGAATTAAACAAAAATGATCCTGATTTGTGAGGTGTTCAGCGAGAAATTGATCAATAACCCAAGCCAATTTAGACGAAAGTTCTTTCATGTTGAATGGTGAGGTGAATAGACATAAATTTCATTACCTACTGGAGCGGTGTCAGTCCTCATTCACACACATTCACAAACTCCACAAAAATTTAATGTCTGGGCCGGCATTCTTGCCTGGCATATTGTTGGATCATTCTTCGTTGAATGATAACAATTTAGTAGAAAATGAAATATTCCAACAGACTGTATTATTGTATGGAACTAGGTGGAGGCCATATTAAACAATTTATCCGTTGATTTTGTTTCCACTGATATTATTTGTTGTTGATTTATGTGTGCTTCTGAATCAAATCATTCTTTCCTTCCATTTCTGACTGCTGCGAATACTTTGACAGTGTAATATAATCAATATAATTTTTTCCCAGAATAATGAACCCTCTTGTGGATGAGATAAGAGTAGGCTCTCAACTAGTCCAATGAATATGAAATAGATTTTTCACTCACGGAACCATGTATTTCGAGAACAAGTTCAACGTGATATTTGGAATGAAAGTGTTTTAGCAATGATAAATCCCTGTAGTTTGATTCTTTACTGGTAATTGAGTAGAAATAGTGCTTGTTGGTAATCGACTCACCTATAGACATCATCTCGACAAGAATTTCCAAACGTATGAAAAGTGCTGCTACAGCTGCTGCTAGTCCACTCATAAAAGTAGCCACAGCTGGAGTTCCCGTACTTGGCCACACTTGTGAGAAAACCCTGGAAATAGGATGAACAAAGTTGTAATTACAATAACTCCTGTCTTATCAACTAGATAGATAATTTTCCGAAGTTACCGATGATCATTTGGAGCAACTGATACCGATTAGTTGAATTGGAACAAGTAAAGTTTTTATGTCAGTGTTGGTGGTTTGACCAATCAACCGACAACTTCCCAATTTTCTGCTACCGCAGTAATATTTGGCAGAAACTATACAAAATGACACGGTCAATTCTTTGTTTTCCTAAAGATTTGCACCGCCACCTAGCGGCAATGTTTCCTCGATCATCGCGGGAGAAAATCGAACAGACCTACCCCCAATATCGGTCTATCGTGAGCCAAAATAATAAACGTAATATTTCGAATAAACAATAAAAACTGTCATTGACGATTCTTTGCTTTTCTATTTGTTTGTACCGCAAGCTAGCAGCAATATTCCGCTTGAATAACGTGGGAGAAAATCAAACTGACCTACCTGAATATCAGTCCATCCTGAGCCATGGCGTAAATTATTCTTGGCATGGGAAACATCGATCCGAACATGCTGACCGTTAGTCCGGCGAGCGCCCCGACGGCCACGATGTATTTACACTTGTAAGCGCCTACTTGACCAAACATCTCCACGAGGGCAGGCATCTATGGTCTG